GGAGGAGGAGGAGGAGGAGGAGGAGGAGGAGGAGGAGGAGGAGGAGGAGGAGGAGGAGGAGGAGGAGGAGGAGAAACGAGCCATGCGATGTCAGAAGCCAGCGCCGGGTTCGCGACGACACGAGCCTGCCGTGATTCTCCGCTGTGGGGTCTGGGGCGTTAGACAGCAGGAGCCTGAAGCGGCCTGAGCACCGAGTTCTCGCGAGGGAAGGTGATAGTTCTCTTATTCGTCGTTTCGCTGGTCGGAGCGTGCCCTCCCATCCCCACCACAACCCACGGAGCAGGTGGATTTCCCCCAGAGGACGCACGGTTCCAAGCAGTCGCACTAAGCAGGGGTCCGGAGCCAGACCTCCCCCCCCCCCTTCCACTCAATGCCGAGACGCCGAATAAGAAAACGTTCGCAAGACGGGAGACGCGCCACGATAGCCGATCCTCCCTCTGGCAGGTGGGCGGTGGGGGATCGCCCCCAAGTGTAGCCCGTAGCCCCTCCCCGTGCGGGGGGCCGGACGCCTCGTGTTGCCCCTGCGGCTCCTTGTGAGGAAGGAACGGGGGAAGCGAGCGGGCAAGGAGAAAGATGGGAGGAGGGGGGGTCGGAGGGAGGAGGGAGGGAGGGAGGGAGGGAGGGAGGGGAGGGGAGGGGAGGGGAGGGGAGGGGAGGGGAGGGGAGGGGAGGAGGAGGAGGAGGAGGAGGAGGAGGAGGAGGAGGAGGAGGAGGAGGAGGAGGAGGAGAGGAGGAGGGGGAGGGTATCCTTCTGACCATGTTTGCTTTTGTTGTCCCTTCCCCCGGCGCTCCGTTGGGATGGGGCTCGAGGGCATCGGCGCATCGACACGAACTTGTCCGCAGTTTCGAGGCCTCGGGTAAGAGGAGGAGGAGGAGGAGGAGGAGGAGGAGGAGGACGACGACGAAGAACGGTGAGAAGGACGAAGGAGGTGGAGCAAAGCAGGTGAGGAGATGGACGGATGAGGGGAGAGGGGGGAGGGGGAGGAGGAGTAAGGACGCGGAGGAGGACGGGGGAGGTGGAGGGAAGAGAAAAGAGGCTCAGAGGGGTGGACTGCGGGCCAAGGCAGGGCCCTGGGGCTGCGGGGGGGGAGCGGGTCCTGGAGCTGTCCCTGCGGTGACTCGTGTTAAGTCGGGCATGTCCGACTACAGGAAGAATATCCAAGACTAACTAAATGGTAGCATGGTCACGGTTGGTAGTATGGTCGCGGTTTGTCGTTCTCTTTCGACTGCTTTTGCTTATCTTTTGTGTGTGTGTGGCAAGTTTGAGTTCTGTCTTCCAAGATCCGCCTGTGGGAGAGGACATGCCCGATCTCTCAGGGCGCACGGCTCCTGGCGGATCGTCTCGGGAGGGGGGGAGGGGCCACGCGTACAACCAGCATTCCGCGATTCGGGGGCGGCCAAGAGGGGGGCGTTGACTCGGGGGCTGGATATCGTGGCGGGGGCGGAAGGAGAGGAGTGTGAAGCTGTACTTCAGGCAGTTTTGTATGCACACCCCATGCTACCTCGCCCAGCCGGGCAGGTTTTGTTGCCGGTTTGGGCGCAGTTGTCTTCCGTCGCAGTTGTTTTCGGGGCTCTATTTCTAGATCCAATTCCAGAGCAGTTTGTCCCCCGTTGTTGGGAACAGTTGTTGTTTACCGCGTTTGTGTGTGTCAGAGTGTTGGGGGAAACGGCCTAAAAACTACCTTGCCGCTTCCTGAGCCAATGAAGCGCCCGACGGTACGTTCCAGCCCTCCCATGTCCACCGAACCAACCTCCTCAAGCGATCACCCACCCCATCACGCCCCGAAGCACAGCCCATTCTTATACCCCCACGCCATCCACCCCCCCACGCTTACCCTGACTTGCGCGCTGTCCTGATTTTGGGGATGCTCCTCGTTCGTCTTTTTTGACGGTCCCTGGACCAAGCTGGGGCCCCCAAAGGCCGAAAACGGTGAAGCACCTTTCGTTTTGTCAAGCAGTGGCGAGGCGTCCTGGCTCGCCTATAGCCCTAGCAAACAATGTGCTAAGAACCTTTTGTGATTCCCACGAAATGTTCTTATAACATTTCTGGCTGGGAATGTCTTGTTTTAACACATCGGGTTAGTGTTCTAAGAACATTGTGTTTGTTCGTAGAACATTCTTGGGTTCTACGAACATTTCGTGGTAGGACTATAGGAATGATGGGACGGTCGGTCCCTGCTCAATTTTGATGACGCGAGCATGTCTCGGTACATATTGACCCTAGCGTCCTTCTGGCCAGCCCAGAACCCGGGCCAAGGCGGCCGCGCAGCCCGCGGCGAGCCCGGCGGAGGCGGCAGGCGGCGCCGCAACGCCCCGACGAGCGCCCGCTTGCTCCGAGGGGGAGGGCTCAGATCTCATGGCCCCGCTTCTCGTGTCCGTGCGTTCCCTGGCTTCCCCCCCCCCCTTCGTCCATGGCACACGCCTCCGGCCACGACTTGCCGACCCTCGGTGGCTCGCCCCCTCGTTCCCAGACCCCCGGCGTCACGATTTTTTCACGACGCCGACCCCCAGGGGTCTCGACCCAGTCCCCGGGACCGGTTTTTCATCCTGCATCGTTTTTTGACGGTCCCGGGGCCCCGGAAGGGCCCCCAGGGGCCGAAAGTAGCAAAAACCTCCCGCCGTGATTTTTGTTTGTCAAGACTCGAGGGGGTATGGGTTTCAACGCCCCTGGTAAGCCAGACGGTGGTGACCCCTGATGGTAGCCCCCCGGTCACGCCCCCCTTTTTTTGGACGCCCCCGCGAGAATGCCAGACGGGGGGCGGGCCCGGAAGCAGCACCAAGAAATCGGGTTGACCCAAAAGGAGGTCCAGCGACAGGGGGGGGTGCAGTAAATTTGGTGCTCCCAAGACACATTCGATGGGCCCCAAGAAGCCCCCAATAAGCCCAAAAGAGGCCCAAAAGAAGCCCCAAGAGGCCCCCTAACGGCCCCTAAGAGGAGCCGAAGAGGCTTCAAAATTGCCTCCAAGAGGCTCCCGAGACGCTGCGTCAAACTCCCAGGGAGCGGCCGGTGATGCGCCGCCGGCGTTCTCGATTTGGTGCAATAGATTTGTGGGGATCCAATACATTTGGGGCGTGCAATACATCCCGGGGCGCAAATGTATTGCTGGATTTCCGCGTGCAACACGCTACTTGCAATACGGTGTAGTGCAATTCTACAGCGCAGTACATGTGCAAAACAGTTCCCGAAGTCTGCACCACCCCCTTTCAGAAAGAGAGCAGCCCCCAAAAACATAATTCCAAGAGACGTCGGCAGCTTTGGGTCAGGCTCCGGGGTGACCAGACCCCCTCGCGTCGTGAAACAGTCTCACGACGGGAGGTGTTTCGCTATTTGCGTTAAGTCGGGCCTGTCCCTCCACAGGAGGAGCATTCGAAAATAGTAAAAAAATAGTCTGGGGACGATTTCTTTTTCAGTATTTTCGACAATTTGGGAGTCTGTTTGGATGTTTTTTTTGTTTTTCGCTCAAAATCTCCCTGTAGGGGGGGATGCCCGACCTAACGCGGCCTCTGGAGGCCCTCGCCGGGCCTCGAGGCCGTCAGAGAACGGCTCGGGACGAGAAGCTGGTCCCGTGGAAGGGGCCCAGACCTCTGGGGGTCGACGTTGTGAGAAAAGAACCCGGCGTCGGGGATCCTGGGTAAGCAGAAGAGGCCGCAGGTGGGCGCGGGCTGGAGCATCGGGCAGTTTCCGCTATGATCGGGATGATGTAGCTAGCCTTTTTCACCGAGCGCGTTCCACTACTCTTAAAGTGCCTACTCGCAAACGTCCAAGACATGTATGACGTTCGATGCAATGGAACTCGCTTGCTTCGACGCCATGGATTCAGGTCACTTGCGAGCAGCTGCTCTGCAAGCAGAGGAACGCGCTATAGTCTTTTGGCGGGAGACCCAGAAATCCGATGTCGTGAATTTTTCAATACGGGGTCCCTGGAAGTCTCGACCCATCCCCCAGGACAGGTTTTTCGTCCTGAGTCGTTTCTTGACGGCCCCAGGGCCCGGCGAGGGCCCCTCGAGGCCGAAAACAGACTACAACATCAACAACAACAACAACAACAACAACAACAACAACAACAACAACAGCAACAGCAACAGCAACAGCAACAGCAACAGCAACAACAACAACAATAACAACAATGATTTTAAGACTGTTCGCTCTTATTTGCTCGAGTGTCCAAGAACGCGTGTTTCCCAAACCCTCGATACCCGCCCTCTTCGTCTTCGATCGAACCCCTTTTGGGGGGTATACCTTTCTTGCTTGCAGGCCGGGCCCAACCAAGCGGCGGGGCGGCCGCGGACCGTCGGCCAGCGGCAGATCTGATCGGCGGGGCGGCCGCGGACCGTCGACCCGACACCAAGAGGGACGGACAGGGGACCGACCACGACGACAACGACGACACGGCGACGACGACGACGACGGCGACGAGGAGCGAAAGCGAGAGCTAGAGAGAAGGGCAGCAGGGCCACGAAGGACACGAAGTAGGCCGCGAAGGGCGACAGCGGGGACACGAAGAGAATGCGTATGGGGCCACGAGCGCGAACGAGCGGGGGCCACGAAGGGCAGATAATGCGGGGCCACAGAAGGCAACGATGGGGCCGCCGAGGGTAGCAACTGGGCCACGTAGGACAGTAAACGGCGACAGGGGGGCCACGAAGGGCATGCACATGGGGCCACAACGGGCGCGACTCCTGGGTGCCTGGGTGTCGGGAGCGCGGCGCTTGAGCAAATTGCAAAAAAACGGAAAATCCAACGCAAGGGCGCTATTTTCAGTAAATTGCAAGCAGGTCTCCAGCGAGAGCGCGACTTCAGAGCGCCGGGAGAGCGATTCCTAAATGAATTGTAAGGAAGTCCCAAGCGAGAGCGCGATTCCTGAATCAAATGCGAGGAAGTCTCGGGCGGGAGCGGGGGTCCTGGCTAAATTGCGAGGAAGTCTTGAGCGGGAGCCGTTGTTGTTGTAACCCGGGGGCCAAGGGCCCGGTTTGAGCTTCAAGACTTTCCTTATCAAAAAACAAGGTGCGATCGTCGAGGGAAACACTTTGATTAAAAAACAGTATGCACCGGTGGGGGGGGGATCAACCATAATTATTCTTCAGAAATGATAGTTCAACAACAACAACAACAACAACAACAACAACAATCATTTTACCCGAACGCGTGGTGTTCTCCCCAGTGCCAGGGTTTTCATACGACACCAGGCAATACCCCCACTTCGTGGGGGGGCATTACAAGCTCTACCAAATATCCAAACGACTCTTCGCGACCACCCAAACCCAGCTTCCCGCCCTATGACGTTGGGACACTTCACTTCGTGGCGTGCGGACGACCGTGGCTACTACACTGGCGCGGGGTACACACCCACAGAACCCAATGGTTTTTGGAGATTTCGGCGTGCGCGCGCGAAGAAAAAACGAATGTGTCCCGCATGGTATTATTTGACAGGGATGATGGCCCTGGCAGGTGCGCAACCGTTGTCGCAGAAGTTCGAAAAAGTTGCTCGCAAAAGCCCGTTTGACAGAAATGTTTAAAAAGTGTTGGGTTTCCTACGAATCCGCAAGAGCGCGCGGGATGAGATTTTGACATTTTTTTGTTGAAAAACCATTGGTTTTTTGATGTTTTTATGTTAAAATCGCTCCGAACACTAAGCTTTTGGAAGGATTTCGTCTTGCGCGCGCGAATGTCCACTTTACCTTATTTTTTGCAAGGGATTCTTGAAATTTGATTATATTAGAACAAGAAATGTCATTTTATAGTGTTTTTTGCAAGGGAAAACGGATTACAACAAAACAACCGGATCTTGATCACCTCGAATTACCTGAGGCTTCCTCACGAAAATGATGAAAACGTGGCTGCGGCCTAGGCGCGCAGGGGGGGCGCGCACCAGGGGGCCCAACAATAATTATTCTTTAGAATTAATAATGTTCAACAACAACAACAACAACAACAACAACAACAACAACAACAATTACTAGCACGTGGGGACACTCCGTTCTCACCAGTGCCAGGGTTTTCATAGGAGGCGGGCAATACCCCCACTTTGTGGGGGGGCCGGTTCAAGCTCTACCAAATTTCCAAACGACTCTTCGCCACCACCCACACCCAGCTTCCCGCCCTATGACGTTCGGACACTTCACTTCGTGGCATGCGGACGACCGTGGCTACTATTCAGGGCCCCGCGGCCGACGACGACGGCGTGCGCGCGCGAAGAAAAAACGAATGTGTCCCGCATGGTATTATTTGACAGGGATGATGGCCCTGGCAGGTGCGCAACCGTTGTTGCAGAAGTTCGAAAAAGTTGCTCGCAAAAGCCCGTTTGACAGAAATGTTTAAAAAGTGTTGGGTTTCCTACGAATCCGCAAGAGCGCGCGGGATAGAATTTTCACAACTTTTTTTTTGAAAAACCTTTGGGTTTTTGATGTTTTTATGTTAAAATCGCTACGAAAACTAAGGTTTTGGAAGGATTTCGTCTTGCGCGCGCGAGTGTGCACTTCGTGCCGTTTTTTGCAATGGATTCCTGAAGTTTGGTTATGTTAGAACAAGAAATGTCATTTTATATTGTTTTTTGCAAGGGAAAGCGGGCGTCAACAAAACAACCGGATCTGGATGACATCGTTTTGCCTGAGACTTCCTCACGAAAATGATGAAAATGTGGCTGCGGCCTAGGCGCGGCGAGGGGGGCGTGCACCAGGGGGCCCAACAATAATTATTCTTTAGAAGTAATAATATTCAACAACAACAGCAGCAGCAACAGCAACAACAACACCAGCACCAACAACAACATCAACAAAACCCACGTCTTGCTGTTTTCAACACGCGGGATCTCTGGGGGGCCCGTTTCGTCCAAATCTGGGGGGCCCCAGGGGGGGAGGGGGGCGGCGGACGCCAGCCACGCAGGGGGGGCGCGGAGGTGGCCGCGCCGCTCTGCGCGTCGCGCGCCCCCGGGCCAGAGCGCGGGCGCCCCCTCCTCCGCCAGGGAGGTCGCGCGAGGGGGGCGCGAGAGCTGGCGCAGAGGCCGCCGTCGCGCCTCCGGCGGGGCGCGGCGCGCGAAGGCGGGCGATGTTTTTTGGCGCGAGCGCGAGGGCGCGAGGGCGCGAGCGCGCGAGGGCGCGAGCGCTGGCGCAGAGGCCGTCGTCGCGCCGCCGCCGGGGCGCGGCGCGCGAAGGCGGGCGATGTTTTTTAGCGACGCCGGCCCCCAGACGTGCGACGTCCTGCCAGTTCTTTTGTTGTCAGGGCGGCGTCCCCGGAAGTCTCGGCCCTTTCTCCCCGGAGCCGGCGCTTCGTCTCCTGAGTCGTTTGTGGAGGCCTTCTGGGCCCGGCGAGGGCCCCCCAGGGCCGAAACGAGCCCCAAACTGGCCGTCCTGATTTTTTGTACGACGCGATCCTGTCTCGGTCGGTTTCTGAGGGATCGGGGCGCGCCAGCTGGCGTTTTGCAGGAGAGCCCCGGTCTCGTCCAGGTCTGGGGGCTCGGGCGCTGGGGGCGAAGTGCGGCCAGAAACGGGGCGTGGCGTTGTTCAAGGCGCCTCGCGTTCACCGCTTGCCCATTCCAGTTCTCGCCGGACGAGACGAAGACGGGACCAAAACGGCTCGGAAACGGCTCGAAAGGAGCCCAAGAGAACCGACAAGTGCCCAGAGAGGGGCCCAACAGGGGTTCAAGAAGGGCCCGAGGCGGCCCAGGTGGGCTTGTGGGCGTGCTTTTATTCAAGCGGCGTAGGCCGCTCCGCCGACTCCCCTGGGCCTCTTGGAAGGCTCTTGTGGGCATTTTTGTGAGTTTGTCGAGGATCCCTTGGGGGCTTCTGAGGAGCCTCGTGGAGGCCGCTTGGGGTCGCCTCGGGGGCATCTCGCAAGGAAGCCAGACCAGAAGAAGGGGTGGCCTTGTTCAGTCATTTCGGGATGAAGCTTTGGCGCCCACAGAGCGCACGCTATTCGCATCATGGCTGCGCGCCCCATACGCCCTTCTCAGAAGAATATCGATTCGTGATGAATTATCACATGTGCAACTGTGTCAGATTCGGTCGGCCGACACTGCCCGTGCTTTCGACTTGGGTAGGCATACTCACAGAGGCCGTACCAGGCAGCACTTGGCAAGCTACCGCACCTCAGCGTGCCAGGTGGCACGGTGGCGGATGTTCTTGACATAGCAGGATTATCGA